GGGGCCGGGGCCAGGTCGTAGCCTGGGTCGTGCGCACTGACTTACGGCCGCTCTTTGCTCCTAGAACCGGGCGGCCCGGGTCCGAGTGGGCAAAGGGGACAAGCCGGTGACCTACGAGGAGGCGCACGCGCCCCACTTCATCGCGCACCGCAAGGGCTGGCTGTCGCTGCACACAGGTGAGGGCGGGGACGCTGGCGGTTGGCGGTGCGACCCCAGGCCCCGCGGAAGTTCTCAGTTGTGACCGACACAGGCCGAAATGAGCTCGTGGGAGAGGTTTTGTTCAGATCGGTAGCCAGTGTCGGCGTCATAGTTCGTTCACGTTCAAAGGGGCGGTGAGAGCCGCGCCCGGCAGGTCCGGCGCGTTGGAGGGTGTTCGCCAGGGATGCGGAGCTGGCCCTTTCCGCGGGTAGCGGACACCGGCGGCGGCGCCTTGGAAGCCACTGCACGAGAGGAGACGGGAGCTGGGCTTTGCTCCGTTGCCTGTGGTCCACAGAGACGCAGAATGGCCCAGAGGCAGTGGAAGGAGTGAACCCCGTAGCAGTGACTCGGGCTGGGGGGGTGGCCCAAAGCCTGCAGTTTCCACTGAAGCACAGGTTTTGCTTTGCTCTGTGTTTGTGCCTTTGCCTACTCTTGACACTTTCTTGGTCATTGTCAGACATGGGCACCTTCCCAGTTGAGGTTGAACAGGGCTCTGCCCTCTGCCCGCTCTCTTTTTTAAAAAAAATGTATCCACACTCATTCTTCTAAAAAAGTTTTTGCATTTATTGGGGTGACATTGGTTACTTGAGTTACATAGGTTTCGGGTGTACAACTCTGTAATGCATCATCTGTATATTGTCTGTTCACCACCTCAAGTCAAGACTCCTTCTGGGCTCTGCTCTCTTGTTTCAGCTTTCCTACAGTAAATGTGTCCTTTTTGAGATTTATTAGTGCCACGTTTTTGCAATTTTGTGCTTTTTATTGGTGACTCAGCTGCTTTAAAATAGCAGGTGATGCCGAAGTGCTAGTGAAGTGCCCCTGAGCTCACAGAGGCTGTGACCGAGTTGACAGAGACTGCGTGTTCGATGACTTCCTTCAGGCTTGAGCCCTAGTGCTGCTGGGGGAGCTCAGTGTTAATCAGCTCGCGTAACCCACAGGGTGTCTCTAAGTAGAAACACACAAACCAAGGTTATGTGTTGATCTGTTTACAAGCACAATAGAACTAAAAGGCTTGCCGAGCCTCACCCTGCATTTCCCCAGGAGCTGAGCTTCGGTTTTTGCTAATTCACTGATCACGGTGACTTTATAGAACTATCGTAAATTAATGATAATCAACTGCATTTTGTTCAGTATGAGGGTTTTCAACTTGGATGTTTCCTATGTACTTATTTAGAGAAATTAAAGATTCTTGTCCCCCCACCCTTTCTGGGGTCTCGTTCTTAGATCTGGAGGTGGTGGTGGAGATTCAGTGGATATTGTGAGAGGTGTAGGGGTGGCAGGGTCCACACTGAGAATCACTGGGTGAAGGCCATGGCCCTGGCTTGTGAGAAAGCTCATGCTCCAAACCTCAGAAGGAGTCGGTGGCCTCATCTCTGGCCTGTGGGATGACCAGTGTTCTAAGGCAGTCAAGCAAGAGCTGGAAAGGGAGTGATCATCTGAGTTCTGTGTCCTGGCCAAGGCCTCATTCTTTCCTTTTGTAAAACAAGGCTACTGATAGTACCTAGTTTGGGAGTTCAGTGAAGTAATGTACTTGGAACTTTAAAGTGTTTTTCTTATTCCACTTACAGAAGGAAGGAGAAGTGGCGGGGTTGGGGGTGGACTTGGGTGCCCTTGCTTTTGGGTGTTACCTCTGGAGCTTTGGGTGATTCTGAGGTGTTCTTCTCTTCAGGTAACCTGGACGGGGAGGACCGTGCTGCAGAGCGAACGGTGGAGGATGTTTTTCTTCGCAAGTTTATGCTGGGCACCTTCCCCGGCTGCCTGGCTGACCAGCTTGTCCTGAAGCGCCGGGCTAACCAGGTGGAGATCTGTGCTCTGGTCTTGAGGCAGCTTCCTGCGCACAAGTTCTACTTCCTCGTGGGCTACAGTGAGACCCTGCTGTCCCATTTCTACAAGTGTCCTGTGCGTGTGTACTTGCAAACGGTGCCCTCAAAGGTTGTGTATAAGTACATCTAGGACATTCATCTTTTTTTGTGTCAGGCTCTAGCCTACAAAGGACAGAAACGAGTGGGAAAGGGGTGAAGTAGAAATGGGGGTACACATCCCTTCAGAATCCACAGACTTCACTTTCAAAGCTGCTGTTGAATAAATGGACTGTCCATGTTGTCTGGCCTCTCATTCTGTCTTTATGCTGGGAGGCCCCAGTCCTACCTCCATGCCTGCCTTTGCCCCCACTGATGGGCAGGAGTGCAGGCCACCCACTCCCCAGCAGGACCGCAAGCTGGGTCCTGTACCTAAAGGTAGTTGAAGCTTCTGTTTGGAGCAGTGGGTTTGCTCTGCCCTCATTAGTGCCCAAGGCAGCAGCATTAGACCCTTGGGTACAAGCCCAGACTAGCTGTCTCTTCTGGGCCTCACTGACTACCCCTCACTGGCTTTCAGGGGGTATGGCCAGGTTTCTCCCACTCAGAGGATGCTGGGCATGCCTGGGCAGGAGCAGTGGGTAAAGGTGGGGAGCTTCTTGGCTGAGGCTGTGCTATGGGGTGGGGCAGGGTGAGGGGCCCTCTGGAGAGGCCCGTACCTCTTCGATCCAGGTGTGTCACTCAGAGCAACCTATGGACTGAGCCTCCTCAGAGGTGGTCCTGTTGCGTCATCCCCCAAAAGGAGGCAGGAGAGGAAGGCCTCTACCTCTCTCTTCTCTCCCACTGAGGAGCTTTGAGAGTTGGGGAGGGGCCCGGCCCCTGAGCTCTAGAATGTGGCTCTATGGGATGGTGGGTTCTAGATTCCTGTCTGTGTGATGAAGACAATGGCTTCTGTTAGAGGGACCCTGCCCCTTGCCAGGCATGGCTCTGTCCTGGGACTTCGCTCTGCTCCTTGTTGCAGGAAAAGGGACAGTGAAGTCCTGGACCAGGACAATGAGGCCACAGGGTCCAGACCCAGGTAACCAAGGAGCAAAGGTGAGGGGCAGAGCTGAACCTACTGAGCCCTGCCCCCTACAGAGACCTGAGCTGGGAACAGTCGAGAAGGAGTCCTGGGGTCCAGGGTGAATGTGGGTGGGAGCCTAAGGGGAGCTGGTGTTCTCCTGTGGGACCTTTGTAGACCCTGCTCTGCCTCTGGTGCCCTGCTGGCCAGCTGGACCCTCAGACTCATTGTCCTCACTAGCAGGTGCCATCTTCTTAACTTCCGCAGGATTCCTCCTGGGCCTCTGGGTTGGGTGTCTTCCAGGCTCTTGGGTGACTTTGGGGAGTGAATTGCTCTCAACCCCCTGGGCCTTTGGTGTGGTGTACTTACCCATGCATGCTTCATGCGTGTGACCCTATGCATGTGCACCTGCGTGTGTGTGTGCACTTGTGCGCGTGCACACACGTGTGGTTGTGTCCCTGAGTGTGGGAAGAGACAGGAACCAGAGCCTGTACTGCAGAAGACTTTATTGATTGAACAGTTGAGGATAGATTCATGCATGGGGAAGTTGCAGTGGTTGATGTGGCCATGGCTGTTCATGTAGCTGGTTGTATGGCTTCTTGTACGCACATCTGGGGTCCACTAGGTGCTATCCTCACTGCCCAGCACTTGCACCTAGAATGCAGACACAGATGGGGTCTCATCCCTGGTGACCAATCAGAGAGCCACAGTTCCATCAGGAAAACAGGTGCAGGCCACCCTCTGGGGGACAATGGGCTTTGGCACATGTAGTTCCCCCCTAGCAGCTGGGGAGCTGGGGTGTGTGCATGTGCCTGTGTGTGTGTGTGTAGGGACTGAGGGCTGCTCTGCAGGCAGTGAGATCTGGGATGTCACCCCTGCTGGTGAGGCATGTTGGGGTGTATGGGGTGCAGGTCTGGGGAGAATGGGTGCCCTCCCAGACACAGTACCAGCCGCTTGACCAGCTCCACCTTGTGCATGGGATGCAGGCCAACTATGCAGGACTTGGGCTCAGTCAGTGCGGCCCTGGCATCTGCATTGACGTTGTACTTGCCCAGGGGCCCCTCATAGAGCTCCTCTGGGGACCTTACCAGCAGCATTTGTAGGAAGTCCATGAAAAACTCATTGTCCTTCCCTGCGGCCAGCCCTGCATGGTGGGGGCGACATAATGCCAGGACAGGAGGATGGCAACCCAATCCCAGCCCCTAATGTCCCCAGGTCTCCAACCTCAGTGGTCTCCACTTTCCCCAATTTCTCCACAATGCCTACCTCACCTGCCCCAGGTGCTCCCCACAGTTACCACACCACACCTGCCCCAGGTGTGCCCCACAATTACCCGCACCTCACCTGCCCGAGGTGTCCCCCATGACTACCCTGCCTCATCTGCCTGTGGTCTTCCTCCACAACATCCCCAAATCCACCTGCCCTCAGACCCTGCCCATCACCCTAACCTCAGCTTTCTTTCCTCACTCCATGCTCCCTGGGTCACAAGTGGGGGCGGGGGCGGGGGGGAGGAGAGTCAAGCCCCTGATGCAAGGACCCTCCCTTCATGTGAGCTTGGCTGGCCTAGGGCTTGGAGGGTTGGGTCAGGCTGGGCTGGGGTGGGAACTGGAGTTGGCAGAGGCCGGGGTTGTTGCCCACATTTGTTTCCTGTGATGGAGGAGGGGTTGGGTGCCTTGATAGGTGGGCATCATCTACTGTAAGGGGCCCAGTGCCTGGATTTTCACAGCTTACCAGTCCCCTCCCATCCCCCAACAGCAGAATGTGCTGGAAGCACCTGTCAGCGTGCAGGTGCAGAGCAAGGTGACAGCTGCTGTTCCCCTTCATGGCTGACAGCGGAGGTTCCTCAGGAGCTGCCTTGGCAGGCTTTATGTCTCAGGGCCAGTGGGCGGGTGGAACCTGGCTGGTGGCAGGCTGGCCTGCCCATCAGGACCTGGCAAGTGAGAGCCCAGGTAGGGCAGCGAGGGTGAGTACTGAGCAGATGCAGGCTTGGGTGCTGTGTAGGGGTGGTTGACAAATGGTTTGGGGGCAAGTGGACATAGATGAGGGGGTGACGCAAGCCTGGTCAGTGATGAAGGACGGCCAAGGCTGGGATGCTCAGGGCCTCTGGCTTGTAGCTCAGAGTGACAAGATCTGGGTTGGTTCTGGGTATTCGTTTTGGGGTGGGAGTTCCCCTCCACTCGAGGAGCGACCTGGGTCCACATCTGGCTCAGAGTCCAGGAACAGGGTGGCGGTTTCTGCTGCCCCAGGTGCGACAGCAGAGGGGGGCTTTCTGGGGCTTCCTGGGGCCCGTGCATCTGGTTGTGGGAGACGGGCCCAGGGCTGCAGCTGGGCTGAGCTAGGCAGCAGCATCCAGGGGGTGAAGGTGAGCCTGAGAGGACTGAGGTGTGAGGAGCAGGGCCGTCCCTGAGGCCTGGTGGGATGATCGTGTCCTTGCCGGGGAGGAAGGAGGGGACGCAGACGAGAAGAGTTTCCTTCTGTGGCCAGGCCAGCCCAGGGAGCTCTAGGATTGGGGAAGCCAGCTACAGCCACCTGATGGAGGCATTGAGGGGCTCCTGCTGTTCAACTTTGAGGGATTTAAATATCAAAACAACCTGCTTACAATGGATTTTAACACATTGAACAACAAAAAGTTTCTAGGAATCCACAAAAAAAGAGCAGGGAGAGAGAAGGGAGAGTTTCTTTTTCAGGAGAATGTTGGGTGAAAAAGTATGTAATTATTGAGAATATTATAGAGCCACCTTTTTGCCATCGCTTATATAATCGTTTATTCAGGCAGGAATCATCAATGGGCGCTGTAGCCACTGGGTGCAAGGGAACTGGGGAACAGAACTTTAACAAAGTCAAACTACACACACACACACACACACACACACACACACACACACACACACACACACACACAATAATGTATAAATCTGATGGGAACCACCTAATCAAGTTATGAAACTCTGCATCCCTCTTGACATGACACAATATGATGTACACATAATTATATTCTGACTAAAAGTCTAAACTGAAAAAAAAAATTGCCAGAAATGGTAAAATGTGAATCGCTAAAAATACTAAAATGTGGAAACACATAGTAATAAAAATTATTTCTAAATGTCTTTAAATGAAAATTGGCAGATTAAATTTAAAATAACTACAAATTATGGCTTTATCACATACATAGAATAAAATCTAAGACAGTGACAGCAAAAAGGACAACGCAAAAGAAAACAAATACAGTATTGCTTTAATAATATATGTGAAGTGTCAGTGTGAGAAACATTCAAACATATAGAGACTTTTTTTTTTAGTTTATTTGAGCCAAACTGTCGACAGTTTCTGGGAAGCAGAATCTCAACAGGATGAGATAATGCTCCGGAGAATGGCAGGTGTTTGAGATCTTTACCCACCTTTAATGGGGTTGTTTTTTTATAGTCCCTTGCGTATTTTGAGCAGAAATCTTGTATCAGATATGTTTTTTAAAAAAATTTATATTGTTGAAAGTATTACAGATATCCCCTTTTTCTCCCCATCAGATGTGTGTTTTGCAAATATTTTCTCCTAGCATGTGGCTTGTCTTTAAGTAAAGAAAAATTTAGAAAACTCTAAGAAATAATTCATATAAATACTGGCAAATAATCAAAATTAACAAGAAATTGATTATGGAACTAAATATACTAGTAATTCTATTATTTTATTATTATGACTATTATTCTTATGACTTTTTTTTTTTAATATATCTTTATTGATTTCAGAGAGGAAAGGAAAGGGAGAGAGAGAGATAGAAACATCAATGATGAGAGTCATTGATCAGCCTCCTCCTGCATGCTCCCGACCGGAGATCAAGCCCGCAACCCGGGCATATGCTCTGACTGGGAATCGAACCCTGATCGCCTGGATCCTAGGTCGACACTCAACCACTGAGCCATGCCCAGCTGGGCTATTCTTATGACTTTTAAAAATATTGCTAATTTTAAAATCTTTCTATTTTCCAAATATAAGAAAAACTAAAAGGAGACAGAAAACAGACAGGCCTAGTCAGGGTGAAGATGGCTTTTGTCAGGGAAGGTTCTCATCTAGGACATGACCGTCTGCCACAAACTGCTTTTAGTTAAAAAGTGTTCATTTTGGACTATCCTTTGAAGTTACTTTAGGTCTCTGAGTTACCAAGGCTTTCACGCAGTCATTGCCTGAGTTTGTAAGGTTAGTATTGGGCCCCTTTTGGTTCATATATTTCCCTTTTGGTCATAAATTCAACCCTTTGAGATTTTGCTCCACGGTATATGTTGACAGTTTGGCTCAAATAAACTCAAAAATTCTTCACAGGTGAATGTTTTCTTATGTTAACAGTCTCAATAGAATAAAATCTTTCTAATAATGCAGCTGTCTATACCCAGAGTGTGCTGGGNAAGGCTAGGATTAGGGCTAGGGCTAGCATTAAGGGTCCGGGTTTAGGGTCAGGGTCAGGGTCTAGGGTCAGGGTCAGGGGTTAGGGTCAGGGTCAGGGTTAAGGGTTAGAGTTAGGGTTTTAGGGTTAGGGTTAGGGTTACGGTTAGGGCTAGGGTGAGGATTAAGGCTAGGGTTTGGGTTAGGGCTAAGGTTAGGGTGAGGAATAGGATTGGGTTAGTGTTAACGTTAGGGTTAGGGCTAGGGTTACTTTTAGGTTTAAGGCTAGGGTTAGGGTTAGAGCTAATGTTAATCTTAGGACCAGGTTTATGGCTAGGTTTAGGGTTAGGGCTAGGGTTAGTGTTAAGGCTAGTGTTATAGTTAGACTTAGGGCTAAGGCTAGGGTTAAGGTTAGTGCTAGGGTTAGGATAGAATTAGATATTGTCCTAAGGTTAGTGAGAGGGCTAGGTTAAAGGCTAGGGTTAAGGCCATGGTTAGGTTTAAGGCTAGGTTTAGGGTTAGGATTAGGGTTAGTGGTAGATTTAGGGTTAGGGTTTGGGCTAGGGTTAGGTTTATGCCTAGAGCTATTGTTAGGGTTAGGGTTACGTTTAGGGTTATGGTTAGTTTCAGTGTTAGGAATAGGATTAGGACTAGGATTAGGGTTAGGTTTAGGGCTAAGTTTAGCATTTGGGTTAGGGCTATGATTGGGGTTAGGGCTAGGGTTAGGGTTAGGGCTAGGGTTAGGATTAGGATTAGTTTCAGGATCATGACTAGGGTTAGAGCTAGGGCTAGTGTTAGGGTTATGGCTAGGGTTAGGGTTTATCTCAGGGGTAGGGATATGGCTAGGATAGAGTTGGAGCTATTAGGGTTTCACTTAGGCTTAGGGCTAGGTTTAGGGTTAGGGTTTTGTTTAGGCTTAGGGATAGGGTTAGGGTTAGGGTTAGGGCTAGTGTTAGGGGTAGGGGTAATGATAGTGTTATGATTAGGGTTAAGGTTAGGGCTAGGGTTAGGGCTAAGGTAGGACTAGGTCTAGGTCTAGGGCTAGGTCTAGGGCTAGGGCTAGGTCTAGGTCTAGGGTTAGTATTAGGGATAGGACTAGTGTTACATTTAGGGTTAGGGTCAGGGCTAGATTTACAGTTAGGGGTAGTGTTAGGTGTAGGGCTAGGGTTATGTTTCTCTTAGGGTCAGGGCTAGGTTTAGGGTTAGGATTAGGGCTAGGTTAGGGTTAGTGTTATGTCTAGGGTTATGTTTAGGGTTAGTGTTATGGTTAGGGGTATGGTTACGTTTAGGATTAGGGCTAGGGCAAGGGTTATGGTTAGGGCTAGTGTTAGGTTTAGGTTAGGGTTAGGGATTGGGTTAGGTTGTCGCTTAAGTTTAGGGCTAGGGTTAGGGCTATGGGTAAGGTTAGACTTAAGGCCAGTGTTTAGGCCAGGGTTAGGGTTAGTGTTAGGGTGAAAGTTTGTGCTACGTTTTGTGTTAGGGTTCTGTGTTGGGCTCAGTTAGCAGCTGAAACTTGTCATAACAGCTGCCTATTTGGATTTGTTTCTATATATTAGGTAGGCCTGCTAGGACAACCTGTTTTTTTTGGAGGGTCTGTAGTGCAGGCCAATGCCAGACGCTGTTTGTGAGTGGCCTTGAGCACCCTGTTTGGAGCTATCAATAACCCACAGCTTGAGGTCCCCTCTGTTGGGGCTGGGTGTGTTCGGACAGGACCGAGATGCACACCTAAGTCTGCTTTTGCAAGGCCTGGGTCCAGAAGCAGATCAGACAAAGACTCAAAGCACTCTGAGGTCTGCCTCTGCCTGCAGGCTGATAAACCTGATTCTCTTAATGAGCCTCATGCTGTAGAAACTCCAGGGGGGTAGGGCGAGAGGTTTTCTTGCAGGGTGGGGCAATTGCTTCCTCCTCAGGCAAAAGCTGCTTGGAAGGTNTCATCTAGGACATGACCGTCTGCCACAAACTGCTTTTAGTTAAAAAGTGTTCATTTTGG